ACTCCGGGCAGCCGCCGACACGGCCGTCCCTGGCCCGACTGCGGTGTGCGTGCGCCCGTGTGGGGCGGCGTGCGCGCGCAAGGGTGTGCGCCCGAGTGTGCGCCGGGGAGTGTGGGGGCCGTGGGCGTCGGCGAGAGCGCTCCCCGCTCCCCTGCCGAGAGCCGGAGACCCGCGCCCCGGGCCGGCTCCTGTGTGTCGGCGCCGCAGCCTGGCCGGGACTGCGCGGGGGCTGGTTGGCCTTTGGAGGGGGCCCGCCTGCCGGGTTGCCCCTGCAATGGCATGCGATCACTATGTGGTTGTAAGATGACAGCTCCCCCGGTAGGACCGAGAGGGGATGTGTGTGCGCACAGTTGCCTCTGAGCCAGTGTGTGTCCAAAATGCAAGACTGAGGGCAGCACGGACCCTCCCTGGGCAGCCTTTGAAAAGAAAATCCCCAACTCTGAGGCTCAACCAACCCAGGGCAACTGGAACAAGATCTTTATTTGGCGACAATGATTCCAGTGGTTGAAGAAACACATCCAAGGTCCTTATTTATCTTTGGACATGTAGCCATCAGGATTGTCCTGAAAAAGGACGTGTTTTCAAAGTGCTTTACAAAACGTTTCCAAAGCATCAGGCTACGAGGAGAGAAAGCAGTGGCTTTCCCTAGAAGGTCTCACAATAAAGTGAGGGTATAGTGAGTCCCTGGGCTCCCTGCCCGTCAGCTCAGCCCTGGGACGGAAGGTCCTGAACCTCATCTATCTTTTAGCAGGGTTTCTTGTCCATGCAAAGAATTTCAGGGGGTCTGTGAACTTAGGTGGGGAAAAAGTAAATCTTTAATTTCACTAACCTGTAACCGAAACTTAGCATTTCCTAATATTAGAAATGCAGGTAACCAACCACAGTGGTATTAACAATATCCATGACTTTGTCACCAATAGCCACCACCCACGGATATTTTTATATCACATGAAAGTTGTTTCAGATTTCTCAAAATATCATTTTTTTGCTCATCACTATTTCGAAATGAAAGTAGTTGTTCTGCTAGTTATTTAATGAATTAATAAAAGGGCACATCTATTACTATGTTGCGAAGTTGTTTTAAAAAGATTTTTGATAACTATGTTTTAATGTAATTGGCTTCCTTTGTAATGCTGCATATTAAAAACATTCTTTTGAGAAAGTGTCCACAGTCTTCATCAGACTGAGAAAAAATCCAAGGCACCCACGAAGGGTTTACAAATCCTTCTGAGGGAAGGAAGGACCTCTTCAAACCTAACATCTTCCAGCACTGTCGAGAATACTGTCTGTGTTACATTTCAAAGGATTACTTGAAAACTGTGAACACACCGTTCCCTCTGCTTGGTACCTTTGGGCTCCATGAACCAAAATAGTTACTTTTCTTGGAGGGCTCACAATGCAATAATTGAAAAATTGCTGGAAAAAGCTTCCATTGGTGTGTAAAATACAACCCATTTGTAATTTTTTAAAATCTTGCAGTGTCAAATTAGAGGCCATCCTATTGAGAGCCTCTGAACCTCGGGCCTGTAGCTTTTGGAAAACTGTCCAGAAGCATTTTATTTGTTTTGGTAATTAGCTCACATGGCGTTCAACTTCCCGTTAATATAGCTCCCATTCGTTCTGCAAAATGGTTTTGAAAAACTGTTTGCCTGGAGGTGAGACGATCAAGTCCTAGTCTTGGACAGCATGAATTTCTCCTTGTAAATGATCCACACCATCTTTTACTGCTCCCTTCCCCCACCCCAAGCCCCACTTCCCTCCTTCTCCATGTGCCCCTCACTTCCCCTCTGCCCCCCTCTCCCTTTCTCCCCTAGATGCCTCTGACCTGTACCGGCTGGGGGTAACCTCTGCTCATGGGTAGTTTTGTCTCTGCTGGGGCCATACACAATCGAGGCCTGTGAAAAGGAGGGTGAGCCTGCAGGAGGCCGGGACAAGCTGGGCCATTCGGGATCTGTGTCCATTAAAGGCTTCTTGCTCTCCTTAACTCATTCCCACTCCATTCAAGCCAGCCCGAGGGTCAGGCTTTAGCTGGCACTAAAACCTGTAGGGTACAGATTCTCTGACATTGTTGGGAAAGAATTAAGGCATCAGCCGGGGATGGCTAATATTTCTTGCCTCGTTTTATTGCTGAACAGCGGGACTGTAAAGTCTTGAACACTAGAGCACTATGGCCCCCTTTCATGTAGCCGAGATGATGGGATAAAAATGTGTTTGGTGAAGCAATTCAGATTACCACTGGGTCACATCCTCGCTGGATCCCAGCATGGCCTGCAAACAGCATTGCTAAGACAAGAAACAATCGCTGTGCAATTTCAGCTCATGCAGAACAGTGTTTCTAGTGTGGAAATGAGGCTAATTGTGGAGCTTGCCAATGAGAGTGTTTTGTTTTTAATAGCTCAGGCTGCAGCTCAGAATAAGAGTTGAGATCTGTGGATTCGAGTCCTAAGATCTACGATTTCAGACGGCTTCCTGCTAAAATTATCCTGGTCTCCAGAGTGTTGTACACTGTTTTTACCAGGGCACTGAGGTTTTGAGCTTGCTGCCAGGGATGGAGAGTGCTCTCTCCAGGGTTATGAAAGGCTGTTGGCGGGCCCTCAGTCTTCCAGGCCTCTCTGCCACATGCCACACACTCTAGGTAGCAGGGTTCCCTTAAGCTCAGAAAACTCTGAAGAAGGCATGAAGAGTCTCCGTAGTTATGCAGCTCTACTCCTGAGTAAAGGAGAAAGCAAACTCTGCATGGTTCTGAGAAGCAAGCTCATTTGGTTTCATCTGGAACCTCTTCCCAAGACAACACCAGATGAAATGTTCCTGAGCAATTGTTTCATGATATCGTCCAGTTCATTTGTGGTAGAGTCAGTTTGTGGCTCTAACTAGCTCGGTCACCCTGGGCCAGCCCCATCACCTCTTTGGAACGCTGGTGGTCTGCTGTTTAGATGAGAAGGCTGACCCCTGGGCTCTGTTTCAGCTACAGCACTCTATGCCTGGGTCTGTGGCCTCATGACAACATGTTCCTGGATGTGAGAGTGGGTACATGACCCTTCGGAGTCAGTTGGGACAAGTTTGCATCCCTATTTTCACCACTAACTAGTTGTGTGGCCTTAAGCAAGTTATTTGCCTTCTCAGGGCCTCAGTTTCTTCGACTCTAAAATGGGGACAAGAGCAGGCTATTACGAGGATCATTGGCAAGGTTTTAACACGAGATGGAACTAAATAGCAGTGATCCTTGTTACTGCTATTTTTATTTCTCCTGTGTTTGGAAGAGGCTGTAGCCTATTTAAAGTGGACCCAGACTCCGGGAGATTTGGTGAGAGGTTCAGCCTGGCCCTTCCTTACTCTGCGGAGGAAATGCCTTTCTTAGCACACAGTGCCAAGAGCTGAAAAGAAAAGGAAAAGGAAAGAAAATATTTCCTTGATTAGGAAGCCATAGAACTCTACCAATAAGCCTTTATGATCAGTATCTGTGGGTCCCTGCCCAAAGATGAGGAGGATGATAAACAGCTCTTCATCTAGATTTCCAAAGCTCTGGCCCTTAGGACAAAAGAAGTGTGAGTGAGTCCCTGTTCCCATTTGGGGCATGAGCTGTGAAAAGCGGCTGAAGGGCTTGCTGGGGCGCTAGAGACAAGAATCCCAGGGCCTCCCCAGGCCGCTGGGCCGAGTGTAATAAATCTGTGAAATAACAAGCACAAAGGACTTTATAATCAATGACAGATTTTATTTTTGCTTTGGCAAAATCCACCCATGGAGTTAACATTTTATAGGGAAATAGCTACCCACTTTGCGACTCCTCCTCAGCCCATGTTCTCTTTCTTAAAGTTGGGAAAATCCCAGAGAATCAAAGTTAGCTCCTTGGAGAACTGTGGCAGGAGAGAGCATGACTTCCCCTGGGCGGGAACCCAACTCTCCCGTTACTTCCTAGGGTGGCTCAGGCCATTCATTTCTGTTTTGCTAAAATACCCGTGACATGTGAATAAACCAGGATTACAGAACATTGTCTCGGTCAGTAATCTGAGCCGGCATGGGCTCTGGTTTGATGAAATATGGTGCTCTCTGAGCAAACATGGGAATGGGTATTACTTCTCGTTAAAGCTGAACAGTGGGACTATTTAGAACTGACGCATGAATGCTGCACTGTGGGGAGTGACAATTTGACGGGAGCCGATCTGGGGGCGGGGGGCAGTAGTGTGTGTGAGTTGGCCAGAGCAAGCCAGTTAAGAGAGCTCTGTGGGGGAGGCAGCCAAAGGGACACTTTGGAAATTAGGGTCCCTTCAGGGCTGCACAGTCTTCTTACAACCCCAAAATAATCTTCCTCAAAACCTTTGCAGGAGGAACAGAGCCTTATGTTCTTGTCCTGGCATCCTAGCCTTGTTATCTGGCCTGGCTCTCTCTGTTCGTCCCAGCGGAGCCTCTCTCCAGTCTCTTGCTGCCAGTCTTCTGGTGCCCCAGGATTCAGAAGGGCCCACATTCTCTCAGTGTACCCCCCAGCGTCCTCCTGCAGTGCTTTCCTGCAGTCACGCTGTGGTGCCCCGCCCAACACACCTTCCAGAACCTGGGACCTCATTCCCCCGGCTGCCAGGGTGCTGGCTGCTGATGGCTCACAGCTGAGTCCCTCCCTGGCAATTGCCCCCTCCCCAGGAAGCCCAAATGCAGT